GGATATCAAGACATGTAAAGATTTAGATTTTTACTCCTTCACTGTTAAACTTATGCCATTTCGGTCTGTTTGTATCAAAGATTGGTTCTGCTACGCAGAAGTTGATTTCCACGAGCACAGTATAGCAACTTACGCGCAATTGAGTTTGTTCACATTTAATTCGGTTAAGTCATTTTGTAAACTTATTAACGAACTGAGTCATTCGTACAACAACAACTTATCTATACCATTGTGTCTTTATTATTGTTGCGATTGTATGAACATGTATGCTTGAGCATTGCTTACTGCCAACGCAAATATTCGCTCTGCCAGCCTTACTATTAGTCGCTTAATTGATTCGATGATTTATTTATTTCACGAAATATATACATAGTGAAATAAATCTCTCACCATTTTCGTTCCTTTCTCCCAGTCCGTGTCGTCCCATGATGTCTTCATATCCAGTGTTGTCCGTTCCAACCTTGGTATTTAAATCTCTCATCAGAATGTTCACGTCCTTTGTTGAGCACTTTTCGACGATTGACTGCAGCCTATTGTAGAATTGATCTTTAGCGTCTTCATTGTAGTCGTTGGTAGGCTCATAGCATTGGATGACGTTGATTGAAATGCCCTCTCTCCTTGTTTTGAAGGAGGCTCTGATGATCCTTGGTCCATGAGATTCCCATCCTATGAGTGTATTTTGTGCTTGTTTGGACAGCATCAATGCGACCCCTTGTGTTTGGGGGGCATTTTCCTCATCATGACCGGATTATAGCAGGAGTCCCCCTAAAGTTAGTCGTTGTTGTCCAACTTGCGTCCAATGTGTTTCACTGATCCTAAGTACCTCTAGGTTGCATCTCCTCATTTCTGCAACAATTTGGAAGACTCTCCCGGTCTCCCACATTGTACGAGTATTCCATGTACCTAAATAAAAGGTTGTTCTGGTTGTCAGAAGGGGCATCGGCCTCTTGACTTCTAAAAGAACTCGGCTTTCATCATGAGGCGTCATAGTTCTTCTGACTCCCAGGGCAGAGTTTAAAAAGTTGGAATAATTTTTTCTGGTCAGCGTTTTTTCAGCGAGTTATTTTTCTACGGGATGAGGACGCTAACCTCATACCCAACCCTCCTCCTTTATCCGGGCTTGGGACCGGCAGTAGCCCCTGGAGGGACTTCAGGCGGAGTTATAATCAAAAATAATATTATATAAATTCACTTGGTGTTGTTTTACTTGTATCTTCACCCCACTGCACAAGCTTGTGGCTATCAGGACTCTGTAGCTAGATGGATAACGCGATGGCGTTTGTAGAGAACGGTATTTGACTCTGGTCTTAGAGTGAACATCTAACCTGGGATGCATAAACATCCAGCTGACGAGTCCCAAAGAGGACGAAACGCGCGTCTTTGTCCTCACTGCTAGCCACTGTCCACCTTTGCCTATAGTATGACATGCATTGTGAATTTAACATTTTTAGAACTCGTGCCACTTTACAGGCATTAAGTATTTAATATACATGGTAATATCATATGTATAAACCAAGTATGTTAGTTGACTTTTTAATGTTTTTTTGGTTTGACAATATTTTTCTCTAGTACATTCATCACATATGTTAGCAATGAAAGGAATCAGCCAGGATATTTCATTTTTTCAAGTTCAGATACTGTTGATATATGAATGGAGCGTTTAAGGTCATTTCCTGCGCCATAAAGAATCGATTATAACCATCTACAGGCAAAGAATATAAGACAGAGGTAGAGAGTACGGAACACAGAAGGCATTATTTACTATGATAGATTAGTCAGGTCTACCTTGATAAGTATTTCAGGTTATTTCATGACCTAAATTTCGTGTTTGATAGTATTCAGGTAGGTTAAGATTGTTAGGGACGAAGTGCAAACCAACAACAGGTCGATAATTTTACTTAATGAGTTCAGCATTATAAATGTCTATAATCTCACTTGTGGAATAGGAAACACTTGTGGTGGTATTGGACACTAACCACACGTCCTTTAAAGCTGGGCATATAATTGCTGAAAATATTTATATTCAACAGTTGGCACGAGGAGAAGGTTAACAATGGAGAACTCGGGAACATCCACGCCTTCAGTCGAGTGGCATGGCTCAGCCTCACAGACGTGGTCATTCTGTACAACTTGTATTTATCCACATTAGATATATTATCTTATCTCCAGCTTAAATGTGTTCTTCAAAAGTACTCAGTATCATATTGTTAATTGTTACGACACGATGAGTAGACAATGATGTGATTCCCACGTAAGACATTATAGATTAGGCAGTCACGTTATGACACATCTACAACTCTAGGATTAGGTCTATTATTGAAACAGTAATAATAACGAAGAAGACCGTAATTCTACATCCTCATAGGTGTAAGTACATCTAAAGCATTTTCAGAGGATAGATGAGAACCGATGCAGCAAACAGAGATAGGAGTGATTACATCTCCCGGAAAGATTTCTCTAAATTATTCTAGGGTCTGGAAAATTTAGAATACGTTTGTTCCACCAATAACAAATAGTTAAGGATGTTATGATTAGAAATTTACGCATACTGAATTCCTTGACCGGGTGTAAAGGATAGTTTATTAAGCATTTTGAAGAATACTAGGTTTAGTTTGAGTCTCATCTTCCACAAAGGGTTGAGTGCAATCCTAGTACATCTGAACTTACAATTTAGGGTACAATCAGTCCAAAGAATGATAAGTGTAAATCGTTTCTGAATGGGTTCTAGCCCTAATATATCCTTAATAAGAACACTATTAAAAATAAACGTTCAGTATTACAGGAGTGACCAAACACATACTCTATACATCAAGATAAGTGACTCGTTGTTGTCAAGGTTATGAGTTAAGCAACCAACAAGACGTTGGAACTAGGAGTTCTGTTTCGTGGCCTGTTCTGTGAAAGATAGATTGTAGGAGTACCTACGTCTTAAGTCTACTACTGTTTGTAACCTAGATGACTCTTCGCCGTTTATGGTAAGACCTTAGTTGAGCGATATATTGCTGAAGTGCATCCACCCATATTTAGCCGTGTTAGACTCCAACTGCTATGGCACACACCACTTCGTTACCTTGTCGAGATCCATGCTGATTCAATTTCGTGTAATGTCCAGTTAATCATGAAGATATGAATGAACTATTTTACGATCATTTACATATAGATTTGGCTCAATCATAAGAAAGCAATCGCAAATATAATTGATATAAGCTAGAAGGTGCAAACGACTAAAAAAACTACCTTGTACTACACATTTGACCATTTGGTGTCGGTGGCCGAAGAAAGAATTAAACCAAACAAGCAGATTGTTTTCAATCCCGTAAGATGGGAATTCGCCTATAAGAAGCTTATCGTTAGCTATGTCTAAAGATTTAGAATTGTCAACATATAGCACTTGGACTAGATAACCTTGGTTAAAATGAGTAAAAACTAAATTAAAGAATTGAAAGAGGAAGGTCAAACAAGATCGATCTTTAAGAAATATGTGTTTAGAATCATCAATAAATTTTTCAGTGAATAAATAGCTGGACAGTACGCCGCTAACAGTTTTTTTCCATAATCTTCCAGATAACTGAAGTGGAATACATGAGCCCATAATTGTTAATGTCATTCCAATCTGCAGATTTGTAAGATGGTGCGATATGTGAGGTTTTTCAGCATTAAGGGCAAGTGCCTGTTTTCAGAGAAAGTCAGTAAACATCTTTAGAAGAAGCAGTGATATGTATAGCCCACCATATTTGTAGAGGACGGATGAAATCTTGCTTTCCACGCGGATCTTTGTAAACTTAAAGGATTTTATAAATGTATCAGTTTTAAGCATGTAAAGGAGGTATATTTACTTGATCCATATAAGTGGTTTTATCTACGACTACACAAGCACTCCTAAGCTTCGTAAGTGTGCAAATGAACCGTTCGGATTCATTCCGTTTTTCAGCCAATAAATGTGAATCAAATCTAAAACAGTTGGGGTACAAGAAATTCTGGTGCTCTGTACCAAGGTGAATACATAGGCATGGACTGTCTTTCACGAATTTGAGCGTCATTTTGTCAGGTAACTATAGATAATCGTGTTATTATTACGGACTATTCGCTTTTCAAATTCGCCAGCGATAAAATCGGCCAAAGTTGCTGCTTTGATAATGACTTCAAGGTCCACAGGAACCACGTTCTTCAACAGCGGTAGCATAAAGAATGACCGGGCCCTCAGTTCTTGCTTGAGGTCATCATGTCTTGATGAGGAGCCTGCAAGTGACTTCACTTCAGATTGCGTATTGTCTAATTTCCTGTACACGCTGTTTAATTCACTTCGTACACTATCGATGCAAATGGATCTCAGTGTGGGGCTAACAAGTAAATTAAATACTGTGTCATCCAGCAGCTTCTGCACCTGGTTCTAAGAATAAGGGTTTCAATAACTAAATGTATTTTTACCTTTATATATAGAAGAACTACATCTTAATAACTGATGCCGCTCTCTTGATAGCAATGGTGGACCCCAAGAAAAGAACGGTTTGTTACTTCTGCCCAGGAAAGTTTGTTTGGTGAACTCGTAGTGTGTGTGTTTTTCTTTGAGATATCGCCCGTATTCTCATGTTTGAACTTTATTGTGAGCTGATCTTGAATGTTAAAAGACGATGGTGTAGAGCTCAAAATAGCATGTTTTTGATTAAAATGGATTTTTCTACATCCACTCATTAGTTTTTACTATTTTTCTTTGTGCTTCTTGTAGACCATTAGGCTAACCGATAATGACCCAAGCTCCCAATTTTGGGGAAAATTTGACCCATTTTCGGGGATGTAAATCGAACATGTGACGAACGAATTTTAAAATTTGAAATTCTGCAGAATCTCAGGCCTGATTTCAACACATGATCTGTAACGTCACCTGCTAAGCTTTTTCAATGATTTCTCATAATATTTTTACCTGAAAAACTTGATCTTCAGTAAACTTTCAAAGATTCATTTTTCCATAACAATGTTTTTGTCTATCCAAATTCGATCCCAAAGACAATCGTTGACTCCTTACGGCGGTTCACAAAATAAAACTACTTTGTCTTTCATATCGATTTTACATCTGGCATTTTGTTTAAATTTCTTAATCTGTCCTTGACATCAATAAGCGCTCCCCCAGGTTGTTTCGTTTTCTTCGTTACTGGCTCGACGTGTGGCTACCTAATGGCGTCGGCTAGTGATCTTTTATCAACCTTCAAGAAGGATTTGGAGAATCTCAAAGACAATGATAAATACAAAATAAATGCTTTGACTATCTTTGCGCGCGATCATAAAGATACCATTGGGGTTGCTCAGAGCATTGTGGATCTTACCCTTAAGCATGTTCAAATGGTGAGTTATTTAGTATCTTCTACTTGTTATGTCCTGTGCACAACTGTACAGATGAAAAAAAGAACAATAAATGTTTTTGTCAGTTTTGAATTTTTTGTATCATATGGGTGCTGGGTTTGGGCGAAGCGATAACTAATTGCTTAAGCGCTTAATCTAGCCTTCGTATGCGATTTGTCTATTGATAGTCGTGTAGAACCTCGTGAGACGCATATTGATTAGGTAGCGTTGTAGGTTTCACGAAAAACGAGTTGTTTTTGGAATACAGTTATCAAACCTTTTATTACAGATACCGGCAGGATTGAAGCTACTTGGCTTGTACGTAATCGACTCAATAGTTAAAAACGTAGGTACACCCTACAGAAAGTTGTATACCGTGGATATTGTTGATGCCTTTGTGCATTCTTTTCAATCGGTAAGTTACTACGCGGAAATTGTCTTAATACTCTATTTAGATACGAGATGAGAAGGGGCGGTTGAAACTGTACAATTTGAGGACAACATGGAAAGATATATTTCCAAATTCTAGGATGTATGAATTGGATATTCGAGTGCGTGAGCATGATCCAGCTTGGCCTCTTTTAGCCAGCGCTCCTGAAGCGAAAGCTGCGTTTAGATCTTTACCAAATGTCCCAAAAATACAAGCTAAAACGGAACCTGTGGTAGTTAGTGTAAAGCAGGAAGCGAAGGAAACTTCTTTGACAACGAAAACCGTCATCTCAGCTTCACGTGATCCGCGGCTTAATCGGAAACGAAAGTCACCCCAAGAATCTCATTCATCTGAAGAGTACCTTATCGATCGTTCAGGAGATCAAAATATGGAGTCAGTTGCTCGAAAACAAGGTAAACAGGCGGATGCTAGTGAGTTATCTAAGAAGGTTATGTTGTTCGGTGGTGAGGACTGTGATATGCGTTCACAAAACACAGTACCACCTTCTCCCGCTAGATCATCAGGTTGGTCAGATTACATTGGAAAGCATAGTGAAGTCTGTTCTCGACGAGAAACGAAAGACATAGATATGCGTTTTGCTCCGTCAGACCCTCCACTTGCCTGTTCTCCAAGTTTCAGTATTTCTGAGAAGATATCGAAAGGACCATTAGATGTGTTAGCTATTAATAAACCTGACGCCGTAACACCAATACCTCCTGTGTCCAGGTTCGACACAGAAGAACGCCTTCCACCGAGTGAAGTACAGTCTGGAAAAAGTTTTGGTAATTGTAATCCAGACATAAAATTACGTCCTGAGATTTTAAAATCTGAAAATATTCCACCTCGATACTCCAAAGTAGATAATTTCGTCCCAGTGAAGGAACATCATCCACCACCTCGCATTGCAGATTTCCCCAGAGATAGACCACAGTTAAATTCATCCTTCCAGCCACCTGCAATCCCACCTATCCGTGGGCCACCGATTCGTGGTCCTGTATGGAGTGTTGAGATCAATGGATTTCCAGACATGGTTAATATTGGCGTCGATCCACGAATGCTTAGTCTTGTAACTCATCCCAAGCCACCAAGACGGATAACTATTGATGGTCAACAGTTCACACTGTTATTAGATAGAGTTCAACCATTAATAGCAATTGGGGATCGCATACATGCTGTACGATTCCGGTGTGAGTTTGCTACTATTGTTATTGATGGTCATTGCTTCAACATTCCTGGCACAGGTTTTACTCGTGTTTCCATTGGACCTAGATTCTATGTGGCATACCTAGGTGGTCCGGGTCATGAACTTGTTATCGATGGTCGTCCACACACTGTCCCTACAACATCCCACCTAACTTTCATAAATGTCGGTCTTCATTCAGTCGGTGTAAAATTTGTTGGAAACGTGCCAAGGAATGTTAATGTCTTACCACCTATTCCTCCTCGTCTACTCAAGTGGGCAGGTCAAGGTTTGTTTGGTTCACCTAAAAATCTGTTTATGGCACCACTCAACCCTATCAAGGAACTTGCACGCCTCGCTGAACATGGATATAGTTCAAGAAACCATGCTTCTTTTGTAAACAGACCTGTAGGCAATGGAAAGCGACCGTCACCTATGCATCCTACAGATGCTCCAAATAGCAGTAACCAAAGTAATGGACAAAAATTACCAGAGTTTGCGAACCCTGATATCAGTAGTAAGAGCGAAAAACCTTTACCAAACAAAGATGAGAGCTCATCGAATACAAGTACTCCGCTTAACATAGATGTGCATGAGTTATTCAAAAAGTTGGTTAAAGCTGGTATAGTGCCCAGTACAGAACATGAAAAGAAACCAGAACCTCCTGAGCTAGGGAGCTACAGCTGGGAGCGTTTTAAGAATCCATTCGCTGTTGAGATTGACGAATTATATAATGGTCACCAATGTGGTCAGTGTGGTCTGCGTTTCCAAAGTGACCTTTCACCGGAGTTTGCAAAGCACCTTGATTACCATTATATGAAGAATTCAAGTTATGGACAAGAACGACGCAGTCGTAACTTCTATCAACCATTACAGTATTGGTTAATTAGTGAAATGACACGAGAGGGCGCCCCTCAATTCGAGCCTGGTAGTCCGATCCACGATTTACAAGAGTACAAATGCACAGCATTCGCGGATCCATCGAAAAATGTAAGTCACTTTCAGTTATCACTTTCGTTTTCACTTTTTAACTTTTCACAGGTCACACTCTGGATAACATTTCTGCCTTTATGGAATCCCACTAGACAATAGAGACTATAGAACTTGACAAAGTAGTAACTACTTGGATAAGTGCCAGAATGCGTTGTAGAGCCGTAAAGAGATATATGCAGGTATGAACCAGAAAAAGGATTCGAGTATTATCAGCTTCTCGTTGAATACAGATAAGTAAAATAATCGTGAAGAATACCATCCTAGGATCTCACTACTTTTTTCGCTCGTGCACTTAAATCTTATTGCTTTTAATAGTACCAGAAACGTACTATTGATGAAATGAATTTCAGACTGCCACGAAGTGCGCATTTAGACCTTATCGTAATTCTGATATCTCGTAAGTGTCACTAGGTTATCTGTTAGGTTTTCTCATACTCAACAGTTTTATAAATAGTACTCCCTAAGTTACCCTAAACCTAATAGAACACATTTGACCCTGATAATCCTATCGAAGCCTCTGGATAATTATAGATTTTACAAAAGATTACTTTCTGCTCAGCATTCCTATGTTCTAAGAGTATCGCGTTGTATACAACTGAACTGTTATTTATTTAACAATTCTTAAGACTGTCGTAATAGTTCTAAATAAATTATATTCCCGGGTAACGGTGTTGGAAAATTTTTAGTACCAAGACTTCTATCGCTTTCTAATAAGGCAGATTATATATTATAAAATACTAACAGTTACACTCAGTCGAAATCTAGGGTTCAGCTCTAAGTATTCTCTAGAATGATTCAATGATATCTCTTGAAATACGGTTAATCAATGGGCAATCAGTAGTTCTATGTTTATCGTACCCAACGGTATCTAGAACCAACACATTTTAAATTGCTGGTCACGAAACGCGATTCTTACCTTCAAGTAACTTGATACTCTGGTGGTTTACATTTTACCGTTTACAAATTTATTGGTTGTTTTAAGCTTCTCATGCGTTTTGTAAATTGCGATACCCAGCGTTCTAATTTATTGTCGTTTGTAGATGCTTGGTTGGAATGTAATTGTATTTCTCAGTTTTTAAATTGATCTTAAAAGTCGTAACTACACAATTTTAATTAGCTTCGCTTAGTTTTGGAGTTGATAAATTGTTCATTTCCGTAGCTAGTTGTATAAATAGCGGATAATATGGTAACTGCGTTTATCTATGTGTCAATCGGTATGTATTAACTCCTTGGTTCATATATGTGTATGGAACGGTAGGTTGTCACTGCTGTGAAGTCCGCGATAAGCGTAAACAATTTCTGTTAATGTTAGTTTTCTCTCAAGAAGGCTGCCATTAGAAGACGTTCTTTCATCCTAATTGTTATCTTCCCTAAAAAAGAAAACTTGGACAAGCACTGAGGTTTGGTTTATAAATCCGAGTGGAAATGACTTCGATCTTTCCTGTGTGTGCAGCTGACAAATTTCGTTTCAGAAACTTTTTGTGGTGATTTATAATTTTATTCTTAGCAGACCAGGCGATAGCCTGGTCCAATATGGCACCAAGAAATCATTACGCTTGCGGTATGTACTTCGGAAGTTTATCCAGATAAAAAATCATGGGGAGGGGTGTGGCTTTATGACTCCATTTCCTTTAACCCTTTCTTCAGTATTTCGCAAATTTTATTTAGGAACTGAAGAAATGCTCAAGAGTACTTTGTATGCCAGCCATTTTGGTTGATAACACTCGTCTTTGCAAACAAGGTCAATAGACTTAGTTGACAAACCAAATCACATTACATAGAATCCAGTAGTTACATATTTCTGCTTCCTATGATTAACATGTTAGTAATGCGCTTTTAGTGACTAGGATTATTTATCTCACATGCTAGTTTTAAATGTATTACTCAAAATTTTCTGATGTTTTAAGTTATTTTTTGGAAATATATTAGTGCCCAGTTTACATTGCGATCGCTGTAACTAATACAGAGATTCATTTTAAATTTGGATAACCAAAAGCTAGCGATCATTTTGTTAGCTCTTTTTAGAGCCAAAATAATGCTCATAGGCGGTACCATATAGGTTTGATGTACTAACCTGTAATCATAATGTGTTGTAGAGGATAATTACATAACTTGATGTTGGAAATAGATGGATACAATTGAGTTAAAGCCAGTAACTCCTTAAACTCTTTAAATACTGGCCCATATCTTTGGCTAAACTGCTAGCAAAAAGTGTACAACTTTGCTTATCCGTCGACGTCGCTTGGATTCACCTCGTTTGTGATTTGGAATGAACATAGTTTACCTTGGTAAATCTTCTAAGGCTGTTTTTGTAAACTCAGAAGGATATTATTTAGGTTTTGGCGTTCGTATCGAATTGATACGATTTGGTGCTCTAATTCAAATAGTCTCATCTTTCTAAAAAACAAGATAAAGAATTCCAGGAATTCATATTACAGACAGATACACTACGTGGGATCTTGAATAAATATTTATTAGTTAAGATTGCTATACTTGCTGCTACATGAACAAGTTCACAGGAGTAGAAATATAATATACGGCTGATAGTGAAATCTTGAAATAAATAATTGGTAGAGAAAAGAATAAAATTGGTTACTAAATCACGAGAACTAAGGAAACTATCACAACAATCCACTTAGTCAATACGGTCTACTGATTTACTGTCTTTTTTAGTACCAGTCGGATTGTAACATGTCTCACTTAAGAGAATTGCATCTGAAAAGTTTTAGTGTTATTATTCAAGGAGCTTGTAACACTGTATTTATTCGACATTGCGAGACGGATTTATGTGATTGAAGCACTTCAGGTCTATTAGGGAGTTTTAATTCAAGAAAACGATTTCCAAAAACCTTAATGCAGAATGCGGTAACTAAGAGTATGTTGATTAAAAGTAAAAGATTTGAACAGCTCTATTGGAAACCAGTGGATATGGTTAGCGCAATTTATTGTAACCTCTGACTTCGTTTACGAAATGCAAGTTATCAGAGTTAAATAAGTGACTATAATGTATTCCCAGTGACTTCAAAAGAGATAATTACGTGTAGTGATGATCAATTATGAGTTGAAGAATATTAATATACATATCTCAGAGCGTGTGATTCGACGTAAGCCAAAAAAGAATAAAGTCGTCACGCATTTGCAATTGCTTTAGGAGGATTTAGGGGACTGAGTAATCGTTTCCTGTACAGATACTATCATTGAATCGTTGAGATCAGTAGTAATAAACGACAGAATAAGCTCTATCCCTAGTCTACACTTCCTAATTATTTCCTGTCAAGAAATGTATTCGGCTCATCAATAATTACCTTAACTAATGGGATATCACCGATAACCTCAATGGTATTTCTCGCCACCTGAGTATTTTCTAACCGGATTTTAATCTTGAACGATATATGTAAGTGTAGACGATAGTCAGGTACCCATAACATGTAACGACCATCAGTGAAGGTTAACTGTCCTCTTCATTTAGTGTTTTACTTATATGATCAGTTTTACTGTCATATCAATCCCAAAATACGTGACCACTTCTTTGAAAGCATACAGGACTGAATATTAGCGACACGCCCCCTGTCTTTCACGATGTTTTATTCATTTATTTATTTTAACACATAGATATTGGTACAAGGAGGCACCAGATACATATGCGCCACACAAATCTCATTTGATATGTGTGAGGGCTGTGATACTGCCCGGGTGCCAACACCAAAATGGGTGGTTTTCTTAGGAGACCAAACCCGGAGGCTTCGACCTGAAGGTCTGATCCACAAGGCAATGGAGCATCGTAAGGAAATGCAGTCCCATGGTAGCCGGTGACCAACGATTGGTTCGTACACCATTTGTTCCTTCAAGATACTGGAGCCGATGTGCATTATTGGTTTGGAATCAGGGTTTTCCAACCCACCTAGGTGGACTCCGTGTCCACCAACCCGGTTAAAGCGACGGACATTCGCTTTTCGTCCTCTCAATTTCGTAAACAACACCCTCGCCACGAGAAGGCAGTGATTAGAGCTTCCCTGACAGAGGTTATTATACGCGTGGCCATGTGAGAGCATTTCGAGAGGGAGTACGGACTCTCCCCACTCTCGGCCGTACCAGGGCATTTGGGGGCCCCCTTTCACCGTGATTTACGTCGTAAAGCGATTCGGCGGACTACTCAGCATTTTGATTGTTTTTAAATAGATAGACGTCTCTTTAGGTCCAGATAGTGAAGATAAGTGGAACACAAACACATGTTTCCATCCAAACTTTTTCAAATACCACTACACCTGGGCTGGTAAGACGACCAGAATAAGCGTGGTGGTGGATGCTCACAATTACTTTATTATCAAACGAGGTATGTAGAATATTTAACCCAACCTCACCTGAATCTCGTCTCCTTCCCCCTTCCTCTCTGTCTCTACTAAATATATATATATATATATATACTATATATCGGTTGCTTCAAAGCAGTTGTAAGGTCTAATAATGTTTTTCGTTTACTTTTGCTTGGTTGATACGTAATCCAGATTTTTTTAAATTCATTACTGTTCCACAATTTGTTTTTTACTATAAGTGTACACTGCTTTTTAAAAAAATACTCATCGTTCTTATTGATAGATATTTGTGTATACGTATAGTAAATATCTGTTACATTTGTTCTTGTCGAGCGCAGCAGCGATGTATATGCACTGATTAGATTTGACCAATTTTAGAAACGGAAGTAAATGGAATGAATAAATAAATGTTAACTGTGACCATATTAACATTAATTATCTAAACAACCGTTTAAAACCTTAATGATAATTTCGATAATGCAATGAGAAGACGTAGTTTATCAGAATTATGTGATATATTTGCGCAATACATTTCGAACAATCTGATCACACATATACTTGTTAAGAACATTTATATATGAATGTTCTTAACAAGTATATGTGTGATCAGATTGTTCGAAATGTATTGCGCAAATATATCACATAATTCTGATAAACTACGTCTTCTCATTGCATTATCGAAATTTATCAAAGGGACTAATTGTTTTAAATTTAATGATAATTTCCTAACATTTAAACATAACTTCAGACGATTGGGAATGATTCGTAGTTGAGCGGTCGACAGTATGTTATCTAGAAGACAATTAATAGCCTACCATATACAATAAGATAGCTCTATTGTCGTCAGTTCAGTAATCATTCATCCTAGATTTAAATGTAAGAAACATAGCGCGAAATGATCATAGCAATTTTTAAGTCTAATTTCAAGTTTATGTTTAATGAAAACTTTTGACACTGATATATATTTCATTCTCAGTGAGCAGATTTACTGTTATGCTTGTAATGGTATTGCAACCGGTAAAAATGCTATCACTACCTAAATCAACTTTAAAGTACTTCTTTCACATACTTTTATTTTATAATTGATTATGCTAACAATAGTTTTCACGTCGACCTTACTAAACTCAATGAGATACAAACAGCAATGTAATGCTGAATTGGGCTTGATAGTGTCATAGCGGCTTCCTAGCAATCTATCTGAATATTGACTTGATTTTTGTCGTTGAACTAAACTTTAACGTAGTTAGTCTACGATACGGTACATGTTCGCGTTTACAGCTTATTTCAAAGCTTTATTAATCTTCTATATTACAAATTATTCCATTTTTTGTTTACTTACCCGTTTTTGTACATTATTTCTGCTTATCCTCTCTATTTATCAAACTTTGACATATTTAACCATTGAACTATTGCTTAAAATTATGTTCTATCTACCTAAAGGTTACGCGACATGTAATTATTCTCAGTTGAAACTGAAATTCTTCTTTTCATCCATTTGAGGAAGAAAAGGTAGTTTACTGAAAAAAATCCCCGACAACTTCATGCGCTACAGCTGTGTAATCGTACAGTCATATATTTATATTTGTGGATTTGGTGCTGCAAAAATTGCGCTCCTCTATTGTAGGTGTTTTTTCCAAAGAATCATTTCGAGAGATCAAACGTTCTTCAGTCGGTTTGTGTTTTAGATTTCTCCCTAAGTTGTTCACTTTATATCTTTGAAGTGCTTCATTCACAATTTATTATCAATATATTTTGATTATTACCCTGAAAAAGTCCAGACAAGTTAGCTAGACGAAACATTGGAATTACTTAGATTTTAATCGCTGAGATTATTTCACATATAATTTCCACATATAATTATTATCAATGTGTTTTGTTATTCAAGGTATGTGCTGTGTGCTACGAAAGTTTTGAAGTAGTTTGGGATCATGAAGAAGAAGAATGGATGCTAAAAGATGCTATTCGAGTTGATGACAAGGTATATCATCCTATTTGTCAAGAAGATGCAGGAAAAGAATTCTCAATTAAGGATGTAAGTTGAATTTATCGCAAGTCGATTTCTTTTCTTGTATTAACTTGTATAAAGGCATCTGGAAAAAGTAATTGTACACTCAATCCTAAATGAATGGTAAATTTAAATTAAATTACTATGAATTCTGGAACGCCTGATTTCTAATGTCTGATAAACCCTAGTTAATAATATTTCATTTTCATACATTAACCACTGAATTCCCTAACTGATGCTTCGATTTTTAAAATCCTGTAGTGAACAAACAGTGTAGCAAGTTCGGAGTATAAATTCACTTAGTAACAGATTCCCGGCCGCATCTGATACCGTGACTTGGTAGTCGGATTGGAATATTTTTAAGATCTAATCAAGCTATATTGGCTGAAACTTGTTATTTAGGTGCTAATACGTGGAACATGGTTAGAGAGCAGTAAGACTAAAAGTGCCAAACTCAAAGTCCGAGAACAAAGTTGTGCTGGAAACTGTACTTAGGTGTTGTGGTAGTAAAGTATTCCCCCAAAAACACTAACGTCTCCAGCGATACTACATCCTCGTAACGAAAGGAAGGGATCAGAGAAGGTTGCGTCTAAAAATACCGTATGCCGCCTTGCCCCGCGGGTCCCTGTCGCCGACGGTAAGTTTTAAAAGGTACAAAGCCGACACATCTGGGTCAATTCACGTAAAACCTATATGGGATGACTAACTTGATATCTTCCCCCAAAATGTTGTACACTAAGGCGTTCTTAAGCTCTTGGATCAATGTTAATTTTGCTATTTGGTTGTACATTAGATATTTTGTTCATTACTATTTGCTTTACACAATTCATATTCGAATTTATTCTAGGAAAAGAAATTTCCTTCACCTGACCCTACTGAAAATAATAAAGAATCAACTTCCTCACCTGAAGGTGTTAAGGAAGAGGCCATGGATGAAAATGCATTTACTTGTGATGATTTTTCAACGAATACAGTTATTCCTGGTCTTTCACCTTCTACCTCTCCACAACAATGTGAATCAGAGATGTTATCGTCGAATACGGAACCTGAATGTGAATTTAATATGTCGTTGAAAACTGAATCAATTTTGTCCAACTCAACAATTAGTGCAGATCCTTTGGCTGCTTTAAAAGCTGTCTTAAAAGGTGATATATCTTCACTTAGCGCTCAATCTCATTAACATCTGAACTAATTCACTTATTATTATTATTAATATACCTTTGTACATATACTACTATACAGATTTCTATTCATATAAAATTGTGTATGAATTCATTTTTTTGTAGAGCTTGTAAATATTTCATACAAATAAATGGTACCATTTTACGATGTCATATGTTATTAAAAATGCTCATTGGTTAATTAAATATAATACGGTTATCATATATGTAAACTGTTCTGTTTTGTTGTTTGTTTTTCCTACTAAATAGACAGAAATACTAATATCTAAGATTTACTGTAGTCAAATTATTTCACGTTACACTTCAAACAGAAATATCGTGTTAGTCAAAACAAAATGTGATTAAATACTACTACTACTACTACGTTAATAGTAAGACAGGCATATCTCTTTCATTCCGTCTTATTGTAATGATATTATGTAGTAACATAGGTTGACTCATATTCGTTACAGGTATTATGCTTATTGTGACTGGTCAATGTGCATTGAATTTTAGGTGTATTGTAATTTAGTTTGATCTTATAAAGAAGACTGTTTTAGCCTATATATCTAATGAACAAATCGGTAACCGTCTGCTATAACTGTGCTCAAAGAATGTTGATTTTTTGGAAAGAACCAACTTTCAGCATAGTCATTGACATGTCAACCCAAATTACTATGGATACAAATGAACAATATCTTCATCAGCTGTCATTGCAGAGACTCGACCGAAATCTGTTTCCCATTCTGAAGATCATATTTAGACTCGAATCATTCCTCATTGCAGTCACACGTTTACCTGGATCTTACTGGACTCAAAACAGCTACAGCAAGAAGACATTATAAATCAAGTTAACGACAAGATGTCAATAGTGTGTTTCAGATACAACTACAAAAGTAGTTCGTCAATCATGAAAGTGGTGTCTACACCTAGGTGGCTTAGCATGATGTCCCAGCAGTAATGAGATCTACCAGCAACTTAAACCAAGTGGTCAAGAAACACCAGCCGACTTTTGTGACACTTCATGAATGGACAGAAGCTCAGAAACTAATCGTGTCAGGTCCCGAACCTGATCAGTAGCGAAGACAGTTTAGATGTAGATTGACAAAAAGTCTACGTAATGATTGTGAGCACTGGACAAAGTAGCGGTGGTAGATAGCTGTTCAGATTCATCAAAGAAACAGGTATTAGAAATTTGACTGTTAGTGAAAGTTTCAGAA